CAGACGTTCCTGATTGACCAGGCTGTCCAGGATATCCAGGCTGTCTAAATTGCCCGGGTTGGGTAGGTTGACCAGGATTTACAGATGTGCCATCTGGGTTAAATTGTGGTTGGTTATTAGGACCAGACTGTCCAGGATATCCAGGCTGTCCACGTTGCCCGGGTTGACCAGGCTGTCCAGGATATCCAGGCTGTCCAGGCTGTCCAGGTTGCTCGGGTTGACCAGGCTGTCCAGGCTGTCCAGGATATCCAGGCTGTCCAGATTGCCCGGGTTGACCGGGTTGACCAGACGTTCCTGGTTGACCAGGCTGTTCTGGATATTTCGGTGTATTATTTGGATTAAATTCTGGTTGACCAGGATATCCAGGCTGTGCACGTTGACCAGGTTGCCCGGGTTGACTAGGCTGTCCACGCTGACTTGGTTCACCAGGATATCTACGTTGTGGTTGATTATCAAAATCCGGGTTTATTGGTCTATTTTCAGGGCCAAATTGTGGTTGATTATTAGGACCATGATATGATGGTTCATCATTGGGGTTATATCTCGGTCGTTCATTACGATCACGATGTAATGGCTGTCGACCGTCTCGATCATCATTAGTAACAGAAACATCTTGGGCCACTTGGGTCAGCTCGCGTTCCACATAAGGTGATATGTTCTCAGCATTTAAATGAATGACATTCTTTAGGGCAGTCAACAGCTTTGCAGTGTCGAAGTCCCTGAACAACATAAAATGGCTCAATCGGCTCGGCTGATACCGGGGCTCACTTTTAAGATACTTCTCAATCGCTTGATTACGATAAAATGGTAAAATTACTATCATGAGCATGCGTACTAGCGAACCACGTTTCATTTCGCGATAAATTTTCATCTGATACTCAATGGCCGTCTCATCCATCTCCTGGTGCTCTACTTCTGGGCCAATACCACCCAATTGTTGCTCAAATTGCTTGAAAAATTGTGTATATCTTGGACTCAAATAACGAATAATTCCGTCCAATATTTCGCGACTTTTATCGTCGGGCGCCACCGATAGGCAGTGTTTTAGTAGCTCAAAACGAACTAGAGTTTAATGTAAACAATTTATTGGTTAATTTATTGTAGGGCTGAAACTTGTGTTTTTATTATATATTGTAGTATGAGTCATTTGTATGTTTCGCATTATAAGTGACACACTATGAATGTATTGACATTGTGGTAATTTGCAAGTACACTTTAATATATAGAAAATGATACCAAAATGATATCAAAGTTTCAGCCCTAGTTTATTGTCACTAGTTGTTTTTTTATATTAGCGTTTATTCGCCAGATACTGTTTATATCCGCGTATTCAATGTAAACTTGTGTGTGTTTACATAGGGTCATATATTTTATACCCACTCTATACTATATGCTATACTAAAAATGTGCTGAACAATTATGACTCTATGTAAACTCATGCAGGTTTACATAGTAAAACTTTCACAGAGTTCTCCTGAGCACATTCATACGCTATACTAATAGAGTTACCAGGTGTACACTATTGGGCAACATTGTGCACTATAATTATTTTGTACACTATTGTACACTAATTGGTCATAAAGAAAAATTAACCCAAAATTAAAAAATTTTAAAAAATATTTTGTTTTCTGTAAAAGCATTGGTTTTAATAGACATGTTTTAATCATGTTTTAAAAGTGTAAAAAGTTGTAGAATTAATTATTATTAATAATTAAAAATATAACATGATTGCACATAAATTTCAGCTGAAAATAGTGTTCAAATGTTATAATAAACATTTTTTAAAAACACCTTTGATTATATGCTTATTCTAATATAAAACGGTTAAAATATGTCAATTCAAATCCAAATATAAAATAACGTAATATCAATATAATTACATTAAAATTTTGGAATAAGTATCATGTACACTATTTTGACCAAAATTTTTAACTTTTGTACACTATTATGATTTTCCCACCTGGTCACACTATATACTGATAGTTACTAATAAATAGTGTACAAAGTTATTTGTTAAAACAAATAAAACCAAATAAAACACCAAATATAAAAATAATTCAATTTGGTTTTATTAATAAAACCAAATAAAACCAATTTTTGGTAATTATTAATGTGTAAAATGTGAAAACATATCACATGTTTTGTGAATTTATTTTGAATTGTTTTATATATTAGTGCATAGATTTGTATTTTTAATTGTTTTTCAGTAAATAAAATGCCGCAACAAACAAACAATTCATATGAATAGATTAAAAGTTAAAATTATTGATTTAATTGACAACGAGAGTGCATTAAGGGTTTTATTCTTTATTAACTTATCTGGAATTTTAAAAATATTATAACAAATAAAACCAAATAAAACCAAATTTTCAAAAAATTAACCCTAAAACAACAAATAACACCAAATTTATCTTATAATTAATAAAACCAAATAAAACACACAAAATTTTAAAAAATAATAAAACCAAATAACTTTGTACACTACTAATAAATATACAACAATGAACATGAGCCAAAATCAATACTTACTCATAACCTTTGTTTTGACATTTTTCAAGAATATTCGCGCTATTCGTATGTTTTCGTCATTCATTTCTCCGTTCATTAGTGTCTTCTGGACTAAAGGCGTGCGAATCCTGTCTGTCATAGAGTCGGCCAATCGATCAAACACTCGATCACTCAATTGTTTGCGGTTTGTGTCGAACAGTATATCTCTTTGCCAGGCGTTTGGGTCAGTACTAACGGGCCGATAGCTGGGCACGATATCAGCGTCACAGGTACAATAATATTTAATTTAAGAAATGTTTATAAGACTTATTGTAAATAATTAACAAATGATTTAAACTAGGAGTGCTCAAAATATGAGCAATTTTCATTTTTACTATGTCAACTTGTATAAGTTTACATTAAATCATAGGTTGTTTGGAGAAGCTTAATCTAAACAATACACGGTATAATGAAATTATTTTTAAAATTAAATTCTAAAAAAATTACTACATTTTATTTTTATACATTAAAAAAATAATTCAAAACAACTATTAAACTTTCTATTATTTTATTGAAACAGGGACTCGCAATGACCAACTCATCCAAAGGCACTGCAATGATAAAATGTGATTAGTAAATAAAATATTATATACTTATTGTATTAAAATTAAGGTGATTACATAATAGTACAGTATAATGACAATCATATGCGCACAGCAGGCAAGCATAGGACAGGGTTAATGTTTACAACAGGGGGTTTGGTAGAGCTAAAGGGGGTTTTGGTAGAGCCAAAGGGGGTTTTGGTAGGGCAAGGGTTTATACATTTACTCGCTTGGCATTCAATACTCACAAACTCCCGTCCAATGGACTTACCTGAGCCTTAAAGGCGTACGGACTCGCGGACGCGTCCGCGAACTCGGACGTCAACCAGCGATAATTGGAGTTATTAATAATTATTAAACAGATTTAAATTAAATAAGACTTTATTGTGATTATATAAAATGAATACAAAAAGGTATACAAAAATTATGAAACATCTATAACACACAACGATGCACACAGCAATTCACACAGCTATGCGTTACTCTACACGACAACACACAGAGTCGTGTCCGAAAGTACTCACTAAAGACTAATCAACTATGGGTTAGAGTGGGCTCGACTTATATACCCAGGCGGTGTTCGCCCAAGAATGCAACACTTCGAGGGGTATTAGTGGGGGATTAAGCTAAGGGAATGACATTAACAATATGTAACTTAATGGGATTCTTGTGAGAATAGTGTGTGAATATATGTTATAATGTATATGCCGCCTCTTAAAAATGGTTCTTTAATTTTTGATTAAAACATTAATTTAAATATAATTGATAAAAATGTGTTATAAAAGTTTTTTTTAAAATCAAACATAAACAAAATGTTATAATGAAACAAACAGTACAATTACAGTTAAAATTAGATTTTAAAATAAATAAGATTGCGTCTGTAAACGCGACCAAACGTTGTGTAAGTTTACGCCCGAGGCTGCGTCCGTATCTCTCCAACGACATGTCCAGTTGGAAGTACTAAACATGTTTTTATGGCATCATAAGTATCATTTTGTTGTAGTTTTATACGGTAGTATTGATTCTTGTGAGAATAGTGTGTGAATATACACAGGGAGAATTTAAGTATAAAGTCCATTAGGAATTTCTTACGGGCGTGTTTCTAAAATTATCAAGATCAAATTTTATTTACAGATATAGAATCTCGGGACGCAATACATATAATTTTTTCAAGTACCTAGCTTTGTTTTTCTTTAAGTAATTAAACAAAATCTACCCAGCTAAAACTACATTATATAAAATTTTTTGACTTCACGATTGGATTTAGAATTAAAAATTAGTTGACACCTTTAATCGGCTTTTTTCGTTAAAACCCATAATAAAAGGGCAGGATACTAAAAATGGCATAAAATGGTGTAAAATATTGCTTTTTTGCAACAAAATTATTATTTGTGGCAATATTTAGATTTTGAATTCACTTCAAATGACTTCATTTTTCAGTCGAATGAGCAATAATTTGTATGGAAAATTGCCATTTTTAGCACCTTGGCTCTTTGTTATGGGTTTTAAAGAAAAACGCCGATAGAGGTGTCAATCAATTTTTAATTTATAATCCAATCGTGAAGTCAGAAAATTTGTAAGAACACGCCCGTAAGAAATTCCTAATGGACTTTATAGTTAAATTCTCACTGTGTTTGTTATACTGTAATAGTACACATAAATAAACTAGTACAATGTCAATTTAGACATACAATATAATAATTAAAAGGGAAAAAGTAAAAAATGTGTCTGTTTTGCACATAAATTCAAAAATTTCGAAAGATTTTGGTTTACTTTTAAGGCAATGGATTGGCTAATACAGGCCCTTACAGAATGCACTTAAGATTTATTGCAAGTAATTAACGAATAATCTAAACAATGAATGTATAATCAGATTTTTCAAAAATAAATATTAAATAATTTATTACAATTATTTTTTTTGTATTAACAAAATATGAATTAACATTAACAATAATCAAAACAACTATCAAACAAACATGTTATCTATAATTTATCCGGATCTTTGCCCGCAATCGTTTGATTCAAACAGGGACTCGCAATCACCGACTCATTCAACGGCACTGTAATGATGAAATGTGATTGGTAAATTTAAAAATATATACATGCTGCATTAAGAATAAGTAAGTTACAAATACAATACATACTTAAAATAGATTTCAAATCGACATCGATCAGTTCTCTGGTCAATTCGAACAACTCATTTTCTTCTGGGTCCTTTATGTTTGGCGAACGCGAGTCAATGATATACTTATAAAACGTAAACATCGGTTGCAAATCAAAGTCCTTATGCGTGAAAAAGTCGGACAAAGGGCTCGGCCTATACTTGGGGTGATTTTTCAGGTACTTCCGGATTTCTAGAGTGCGCCAAACGGGCACCAAATCGGTGAGCACCATGCGCACTAAGTTACCACGACTCATTTCGCGGTACATCAACTTTTGTCGGTCGAGCGTTGGTTTGGTGAGCGCGTGCATACGTAGATCGTCGCCGGGGCCGCCTACCAATTGCTTAAGGTTGTCCAAAAATGGTTTCTTACGACTGTTAAGGTTGTTCACAATCTGGTCCAGTGTTTGGCACTCCTTCGCGTCGGTGACCAGAGGTTTGGCCTGTTTTAACATCTCGACACGCGCTGTGAATTAATCCAGAGTAATTAGTATATAATACAATAACTTAGTTAATAAAACAATATTATGGTTAAGTTTATGATTTGACTAAGCGTTCAACAGATGACCACCATTTGCTCATAATTGATATTTAATTTATGTATATTAGTTACCGAAAGCCCTGTAATTACAAGCCATAAATATTGATTACGTGGAAACTTATTTAATATAATTTTGTTGTAATTATAAACACATTAGTAAATAATTTTGTTTTAATAATAATTGATCTAGATTATAAATTTGTTAAATCAAATTGAAATTTGCTTCATGATTCAAAATGGTTTCTGGATCGATAGGCACAAAAGGTATGTACAGTATGAACAAACTGTCATTTACTATAAAGTATTACCGGTTTTGTGAACATTACTACTCACTCGGTATTAATTCTTTATTCCTCTTCCAGAAGCTCCTGCCGCGTCGTTTGTTGTCGTCAGTCATTTCTCCGGTCATTATTGGCTTCTGGACGTAATCCGAGACAAATATTTTTGGCAACGCGTCCTCAACCGACTCCAAGAGGCGATCACTTAATGGTTTGTTTGGTTGACCAGGTTGGCGAGGGGGTGGTCTAGTTTTAGGCAGAGGTTTAAATGGATTGCCATCTTTGTCTAATGGTTCGCCACTAGGGCCAAAATTATGTGGTATGTTAAGTGGTCCAGGTCTACCACCAGGGCCGTCATTGCTTGGTTGCCAAGGGCTGCGATCTTTGTTCACTGGTCGTCCTTGAGGATCACGATGGTGAGGTTGGTCAGGCTGTCCAGGTCTACGACCAGGGCCTTGATTTGTCGGTTGCCAGGGGCTACCATCTTCGTTCACTGGTCGTCCTTGAGGATCACGATGATGGGGTTGATCAGGTTGTCCTGGTCTACGACCAGGGCCTTGATTTGAAGGCTCCCAAGGGCTACCATCTTCGTTCACTGGTCTTCCTTGAGGATCACGATGATGGGGTTGATCAGGCTGTCCAGGTCTATCACCAGGGCCTTGATTTGAAGGCTCCCAAGGGCTACCATCTTCGTTCACTGGTCGTCCTTGAGGAAGACCAGTGAACGAAGATGGTAGCCCCTGGGAGCCTTCAAATCAAGTCAGGGCCTTGATTTGTCGGTTGCCAGGGGCTACCATCTTCGTTCACTGGTCGTCCTTGAGGATCACGATGGTGAGGTTGGTCAGGCTGTCCAGGTCTACGACCAGGGCCTTGATTTGTCGGTTGCCAAGGGCTACCATCTTCGTTCACTGGTCTTCCTTGAGGATCACGATGATGAGGTTGGTCAGGCTGTCCAGGTCTATCACCAGGGCCTTGATTTGAAGGCTCCCAGGGGCTACCATCTTCGTTCACTGGTCGTCCTTGAGGATCACGATGATGGGGTTGATCAGGTTGTCCTGGTCTACGACCAGGGCCTTGATTTGTCGGTTGCCAAGGGCTACCATCTTCGTTCACTGGTCTTCCTTGAGGATCACGATGATGAGGTTGGTCAGGCTGTCCAGGTCTATCACCAGGGCCTTGATTTGTCGGTTTCCAAGGGCTATTATCTTCGTTCACTGGTCTTCCTTGAGGATCACGATGATGGGGTTGGTCAGGCTGTCCAGGTCTACGACCAGGGCCTTGATTTGTCGGTTGCCAAGGGCTACCATCTTCGTTCACTGGTCTTCTTTGAGGATCACGATGATGAGGTTGGTCAGGCTGTCCAGGTCTATCACCAGGGCCTAGGGGTTTGCCAGGTGGGCCAATACTTGTAGGCTCATATTGGTGATCAGGATGTCCAGGTCTGCGATTAGGGTCTATGTGCTTGACATTAGGTTCCATATGTGTATCGTGTTGGCCAGGATGTATTGGCCTATTATAAGGGCCGTAATGTGGGTGATGATGATCATCCTCAGGATGAGGTTTCTCATTAGAAACGTCTTGAGCTACATTAATAATTTCGTTCTCTTCGTCGGGCCTTATCTTTGGTGCATTTAATTCGATGACTTTTTTATACGCATTCATAATCATTTTGTCGTCAATGTCTCTGAACAGCATCAAGTCGGACACAGGACTGGGCCTATACTGGGGCTGCTTTTCAAGATAATCTCGTATATGTTGCGATTTCCAAATGGGCAACATTTGTATCAACAGCATGCGTATCAAAGAACCACGTTTCATTTCGCGATATATTTTGAGCTGATACTCAATTGCTCTAGGTTCCATGTCCTGGAGCTTTACATCGTCCGCATAGCCGCCCACTGTTTGCTCAAATTTGTGCAGCATTTCTGGATATTTTGATGACAGGTATCTAATAATTCCGTCCAGTATTTTACGGCTTCTATCGTCGGTGGCCAACTTTAGGCAATGTTTCAGTAGCTCAAAACGAACTATGTATTAAAGTTAACAATTCATGGTTTAATTTATATTTTGTTATTGTTGATTTTTATTATCGCATATGATATATCAATGTGTAGATTTCTATAGGATAAATTATGGAAGCTAACATATTGATTAACTATAGAGTTTCACTTACAAAATATTTTTTACATATAATACTCAAATGCTTAAATAGTTCAGATTAAGATGTTTTGTTTTATAAAATTGTTTAATTCTTAAATTTTAATTTATTTTACTAATGATTGAGGCAATATATAACTTGTAAATTCTTGGATTATGTTAATTTTATATTTAGCATCATAATTATTGATTAACTTTACATCGATATAAACTTTACATATTATGTGCTAGTCACTTTATAATGGTTGATTCAATAGGTTGAATTTAATACTATAGTTATGATTGAACCAAATAAAAAAGTTAAGCCGGTTCTGGGTTTTCCTGGCTCATATGACATTAATATATAAATTTTACACAATTAAATCATCTCTTATACTATAATAGTTATAGCAAAACTGACACGCTGCTATTTAATTGACACGCCTTTTATATTAAACACAATTAGAATCACGACAACTAGATAAACATTTTAGAATCAAAACTCACTTCGAACTTTCGGTTTAAGTTTCTTTAGGAACTTTCGGACAAACTTTTTGTTTTGGGGAGTCATCTCTCCTGTCATTAGTATATTCTGGACGTAATCCGAATGCAATAACTTATTCATCGACGACCGAAACGGTTCGAACGCCTTATCGCTCAGCGACGGGACATTCGGGTTAGGATTGATATCTTTCTGCCAGTCGTTTGGATCACTACTTTGGGGCACTCGAGGAGTGGGCACCGGATTTTCTGACCGACAAATGCAGTAATATTTTTCCTCCAAATCCAGCGCCTCTTTCGTAAACTGTGGCAACTCTTGCTTCTCTTGAGGCGTAATTTTTGGCATATTCAGCTCGATCACTTTTTTATAAGTTTCTAGGTTATTTTTCATCTCGACGTCGTTCGCCAAAATGAGATTCGACAACGGAGTGGGCCTATACTGGGGCTGCTTTTTAAGGTACTCGTTCAGCTCGTGCGTACGCATAACGGGCATCATTAATAAAATGAGCATGCGTATTAATGAGGAACGTTTCATTTCTCGATAGGCCAATCGCTTGTATTCAATGGCCGCGTCGTCCGTTGGCCGGAGTTTTACTTCGTCGCCGACTCCGCCCAATAATTGTTCAAATTTTTTGTAATGCTCTTCAGATTGAGGGTAATCTGAGACCATATTATTGACCATTTTGTCCAGTATTTGTCGGGTTTGAGAATCGGTGGCCACTGATCGGCATTTCTTCAGTAACTCAAAACGGACTGCAAATTGAAGTAAACAATATATCGTTTAATTAATATAGTCTCATGTTTTGTACTTATTTTTATATATATAATATACAGTATAAATTACAACAAAAATAATTTAAGACAAACAAAACACATAAAAATAAAAATAACTAATGAAATTACTATAAGTAAAATATTTACTATGGAATTAACCATTTTATTAAATAGGATACCTAGATTAATATCCCAATTATTTTCTAATTTCCACACGACAATTAAGTATAATTTATAATTTAAGTATAAGTTAATACTGATAAATAATTATATATTCATTGTTATCTTTATGTTAACATTTGTTGTCATTTTAAACACACATAAGATTGTGTGAAATTAAATCAGCTCTCACTTATTAATGAATATAAAGTACCGTAAATTCCGTAGATAACGCGCACTCTTTTTTTTATTACAATTTATATATTAAAAATGTGGTTTATAAAATCATTATTAATTAATAGTTGCATTTTATGTCTAAAATAATTAATAATTCTTGAATTGATCAAAATTTAGTTGTTCAAAAAGTTTTTTTTATAAATAACGCATGCGTTATGCCCGAAATTTTACGATATTAAAATGACAAAATTTTCAAAATCATATAAACTAATTTGACTCAATCACTACTCACTGGGAATCATATCTCGGGAGTTTTTCCAAAAAATACGAGCTAACTGTATGTTTTCATTGCTCATTTCTGCGTTCATTAGGGTTTTTTGGACGTAATCCTTTTTAAAGGATTCGGCAAACGCTTTATTAAAGCCATCGATAAATGTATTAAACATTAAACCAAACGCTTTAAAGGGCATGCTAAACATATTTGCCAT